ATTGCTTTTACTGTATGTAGCAATTGTATAGACTCTCACTTTTTTTTTTTTTTTTTTTTTTTGGTCTTTGAGACAGGGTTTCTCTGTGTATCCCTGGCTGCCCTAGAACTTGCTTTGTAGATCAGGCTGGTCTAGAACTCACAGGGGTCCACCTGCTTCTGCCTCCCAAAGATTCCCACTTTTTACTATCTGTCTTCCCACGCTGTAGAAAACAGTGGGATGTTAATAACCACAGAAGATTCAGGCTTGCTTAAAAACAGCACTTTCTTTCCTTTGTTTTTGTCTGTTTTGCTTTCTTTGAGACAGAGAAACTGTATAGCCCTGGCTGGTCTAGAACTCACTTTGTAGACCAGACTGGCCTTGAACTCACAGAGATCTGCCTGCCTCTGCCTCCTGAGTGTTGGGATTAAAGATATGCCTGGCTTTATTTTTTAAGATTTATTCTTTTATTTTTAATTATGTGGCTGGGGGCGTGTATATTCACATGAGTACAGTGCCCTCAGAGGTCAATAGATCTCCTGAGTAGGAATCACAAACTGTTGTGAGCCACTACGTGTCTGTGTTGGATTCCAAACTCCAGTCTTCTGCAAGAGCAATCTCTGCAATCCTTTTTCTATTTTGAGACAGGAATCTTGTCACTATGTTGCCCACACTGACCACAAACTGGCTGAGGAGACAGTTCAACTGGCCAAGTACTTGCCATGCAAGCATGAGAATCTTGAGTTCTATTCTCCAGAAGAAGAAAAAAAAAGCCAGGTGTGGTGTCACGTGCTTTTCCCAGCATCAGGGAGTTGGACGCAGGAGAATTACTAGAGACAGGAAGATCCCTGGGGCTCCCTGACCAGCCAGTCTAGTCAAATTAGTGAGCCTAAAGTCAGTGAGAGACCCAGTCCCAAAAAAATCAAGAGGCTTGCACCTGAAGACAGACACCCAAGGTTGACCTCTGACCTACACGTCCATACACACATAGGTGATCACACAGGAGTACATACAACGCACTCATATGCCCCATCCCTGGGCTCAGGTGACCTTCCTGTCTCAGCCTCACAACTAGCTGGGATTATAGGTGTTTATACTTGTTTGCAAACATCACTTTTAAAAAGGTTTTTTTGTTTGTTTGTTTATTGACATTTATTTGTGTGTGGAGTATGTATGTGGTCAGAGGACAACCCACAGGAGTCATTCTTTCCTCTGATCAAACATAATTCAGAAATTAAAAATAAAGTATTTTTAAAGATGATTTTACATGTATGAGTGCTCTGCAGGCCTGTGTAACACAGGCACTCATGGCATTCAGAGAACTGGAACTGGAGTTGTATATGGTTGTGAGTCATCATGCTGGTGTTGGGAACAGAACCTGGGACCTCTGCAAAAACAGCAAGTGCTCTCACCTGCTGAGCCAACTCTCTAATCCTAGTACTTTAAAATGAAAACCCTTCTGAGTCCACAAATCCCTCTGCATCTATTTTCTAGTTCAACCATCCTTCAGACTAAAGAGCTGTTAGTATTGTTAAATGCCTCACTGCTGAGTTATGGGTGCAGCTCTCTGGTAGACTTCGAGCGCCTCGGGTTCCATGCCCAGCACTGCCCGGGGGGGAAGAGAAACCCCAACGCCCTATGAACAAAAGATTTAAGTGCCACAGGGCGTTGGTGGCGCACGCCTTTAATCCCAGCACTCGGGAGGCAGAGGCAAGCAGATCTCTGTGAGTTCGAGGCGGCCAGCCTGGTCTACAAAGTGAGTTCCAGGACAGCCTCCAAAGCTACAGAGAAACCCTGTCTCAAAAAAAAAAAAAAAAAAAGATTTAAGTGCCTGGTTAACCCAGCCTGGGGGCCCCACACTTTAAACACATTCCCGTTCCCCTCCCTGTAACAGAGGAAGGGAACTACACGCTGGAGGAAAAGGGCTGTGAGCTGCTGGAGTCCCCTTCAGTCAGGCTCTACTCCTTACTGCCCTTTCCTTTACCCAAAGCGCAGAATAATCAAACCCTCAAATAGGTTGTTAGTGATTTGTCACAAATGAACAGAAGTCCTGAAGCCTTCAGGGGAGCTTGAAGCATCAGATGTAAAGATTGCAAGTATGGCAATGTACCCCAGAACCCCTCTCTCCCTTTCCCAATACCAAAAAGCTGCATTTGGTCAGGTCCAAGAATCAAATCTAAAATCCTTACATGGGTCTTAGGAATTCCTTCTCTGGCTGAACAGTGGTACACGCCTTTAATTCCAGCACCTGAGAAAGAGGCAAGCAGGCCTCTGAGTTTAAGGCCAGATTGGTCTACATAAGGAATTCTAATGAGTTTCAAGTTGGCCAGGGTTTAAGAGCCTGTCTTAAAAGGGGGTGAGGGGAGCTTCCCAAAGCACTTGCTGAGACTGTCCTACTCTCTACCTGAGCCCACTTGACCCTGAATTAAGAAAGTCCGCATCTGGTTCCCCAGATTCTCTACAGCTGGCTACAGCTGAATCGTGACCCACTGAGCTGCCCTTGCTAGCAATGCGCCTGCACCCACTCACTGCTCACATCGCTCTGATTACAGATCCAAATGCCCTTGCCTTCAGCCAGTGCCATGCACACTCTCCGTTATGAAATGTGGATCTGAATCACCTTTCAAGAGATGATCTCACTGTCCTACAAACAGACGCGCAATTAGAAAACACCGGGAATGGAATCTGCTGCTGTTTATTGCTTATAAAACAAATGAGCCTCCAGCAGTGAAGAAAGCAGGTGCAGGGTTACAAAAGTTCCCTCTGAAAGAACTAAACTGTGAGAATAACCCTGTCAAGGAAGACGTTCACCCTACCCCAGGAGCAGGAAGGAAATGGCTGCCACTAAGAGGAGACCCTAACAAAGTCTAGTCAGTCGTCGAGGTGCAAGCTGGGTGAGGGGTCAGTCATATCCACATGTGATAAGGGTTAGCATGTGTGTGATGTGCTAATGTTGAAGGACAACAGGACATGCCTTATATGTTTAGAAGACTTCTCTAGGGAGCCAGAGAGATAGCTTGGCTGTTAGGGAGTGCCTGTTGTTCCTGCAGAGAACTGCCTGTAACTATGTCTCCAGGGAATCCAGCGACCTCTTCTGGCTTCTTCCTGCTTCAGATACACACAGATACATGCATACTCATAACATGTACACATGACACCTCTAACTAACCAGTGGAAAACAGATGGAGAATACACAAAAATCCAGGCTAGCAATTGGAGTAGCTTGGACTAGAGAGAAGAGTACAAAAGAAATGAATGCAAGAGGATGTACTTCAGGTTTTGTTTATTGAGCTAGGGTCCACGTAGCTGAAGATGACCCTGAGCCTGATTCTCCTGCCTCCACCTCCCAAATGCTAGGATTACAGGCATGGACCATCACGCCCAGTTCATGCAACACTGGGGATTAAACCCAGGGCATTGTGCATACTAGGCATACACTCTAACACCTGGGCTACATCCCTAGCGTTTTAATAGTACAAAACACAGCAATTCAAGACATAACATTATATACTAAGTAATCTTGTAGTCTTCATATAATTTTCTAAATGAGCACAAATTATATGTAACTGTAGACACAAGATTCCAAAATGGGAACTGTAGACACTTATATCCCCAAAATTTCCTTTTGTAAACTCTGAGCTAACTTGATGCCTAAAAGTCAGTTGTGTCTGATTTCTCTGAGGAGGTTACCAGGTCTGGCAGAAATACTGGGACCATGTTTCTACAGGTTGCTAATTGGCAAGGCCACAGGCTCCTCGGTTTATCTCAGTTCCCACACCCAGCACTCTTCACTCATCCGCAGCACCTGCTGCAAAGGTTTGCTATCTCTGCCCCCATGGGACGCCACAAGCCCTTGTTCATGTCAGGTATCTTGATTTGGGAGAAGAGACGTAGCTCATTTGTTGGAGTGCTTGTCTAGCACGCAGGAAGCCCCGGGTTGATCCCAGCAGTACCTCATAACCAGGGGTGGAGGACACAGTTGACACCCCCCCCAAAAAAGGAAAGGCATCTTAATTTGGAGCTTAAAATTGGTTTTTCTTATCTTAACTCATTTTAACAAATCTGGATCAACATACTTGGCTTCAGACTTCACATTGTCTGTAACAACCTAATCAGGGAGTATTTACATACATCAAGTCTATTACACTCTAATTTGACCCAACTACAGAAAAAACGAGATAGACTACTTAGAGCTGGCTACCCTGCACACCAGGGAATAACATACGGACAGTAAGTCTGGGACTGGAGTGATTTTCCTTGCCTACAGCAAATGCAAAGTACCCACCGGGTTCAGCTCCAGACCCACAAAAAACAAACAACACTGTCAGATTATATGTTTCCCAGGGTGGAGCTGAGTCCTTCCTCCAACACAGCCTGTGCCACTCCAAGATTGTGTGTAAACACAATCCAAGGAAGCTCACTATCCAGCCTCTCTCTTACTTTGAGACAAACATTCAAATCGGCAAAAATCTCTCTGCCTGAGACAGGCATTTTGTAAGTCAAAAGATAGGGAAACGCCAGTCGTTTACAGCAAACGCGGCCTCCAGAGTGCTGTTAATTTCAAATTGTTTCGGGCCTCTGAATTTATTTTACCTCATTCTCTCATCTTCATCCGCATTGCATTTCTAATCCTTGGCCAGAATAAAGCGGATGCATTGGCCAAAACACCATTAACTTTCAATCTAAAGATACAAGGATAACAAAACAAACCTTCACAAAGTTTGGGGAACCACAATTCTCGTAAGAACTCGCTGCTGCCGGAACGCCAACAATTGTCATTTTTAAGGACAAAGCGTCCTACGGAACCTTCCTGTCATCTTTCCTCGGACCCCACCCCCAGATTAGGACCTGTTCTCTGAAGCATCGTCTATGCAGAGTGGGGTCACAGAGGGAAAATGCACCAACACTCTCAGCCTCCTGCTGATGGCACGAGCCCCCAGCCTCCTAGCACATGCATCCCGCCGAGCCAGGTGGGCAGGGTCGCGTGCGACCCCGGGATGAGGAGGGCGCGGCTCACCTACCTGCAGGCGCACATTGAGCATCATGGAAGCCACGATGTAGAGGTAGGGAAAGTTGATGCGCAGCCGCCAAGCCAAGTCAAAGAAGATGAGCAGCGTGCGGGTCAGCCCCTTGCAGAAGACCCCATAGGAGCGGGCGGCGGCCGAGCGCGACAGCCGGACAGCAAGACCCGACAGAGCCGTCGCCATATAGAGACCCGCGGCGCTCCCACTGCCCGCCCGCCCTCCCTCTCCGCGCCGCGTCGCCCAAGGCCTCCTCCCCGGGCCGCTGTTCAGCGCTCAGCGATCTCAGGGAGCGAGGGAGACCGCGGCGAGGCCGGCGGGAGGGCGGGCCGCGGGGGAGCTGAGTCTGCGCGTCACTCCCAGGAAGCGCCTCCGCGAGCTACCACCTGGATCCCCGGCCCGGCCGCGCGGCCTGACGTCACAAAGCCGGCCCGCGCCTGCGCAGGCAGCAGACTCCGCCCACCCGCCCCGCCTCGCAGTTTTTCTTGCAAGTGAGGTGCGCTTGCGTGGGAGAATGGAGTTGTTGCGTTGCGTCCTGGCGCCCTCAAATGGTGAAGCTGAGAATAACACTAGAGGGAAAGTCGGGCGTGGCAGCGCTAGCCTCTTAATATTCCAGCACTTAGGAAGGACCTGGGTTACCTGACAAAGTTCTGTCGAAAGAAGGAAAGAAAGAAAGAAAGAAAGAAAGAGAGAGAGAGAGAGAGAGAGAGAGAGAGAGAGAGAGAGAGAGAGAGAGAGAGAGAGAGAGAGAGAGAGAGAGAGAGAGAGAGAGAGAGAGAGAGAGAGAGAGAGAGAGAGAGAGAGAGAGAGAAAGAGAAAGAAAGAGAAAGAAAGAGAAAGAAAGAAGAAAGGTGCTGAAAGGAGGGAGGGAGGGAGGAAGGAAGGAAGGAAGGAAGGAAGGAAGGAAGGAAGGAAGGAAGGAAAGAGAAAAGAGGAGCTCAAGAGATGACACAGCGGGCCGGGCGTTGGTGGCGCACGCCTTTAATCCCAGCACTCGGGAGGCAGAGGCAGGCGGATCTCTGTGAGTTCGAGGCCAGCCTGGTCTACAGAGCGAGTGCCAGGACAGCCTCCAAAACTACACAGAGAAACCCTGTCTCGAAAAAACCCAAAAAAAAAAAAAAAAAAAAAAAAAGAAAGAGATGACACAACGGTTAAGACCGTTTGCTACTCCTCCAGAGGACCTTGAGTTCAGTTTCCCGTATGTACCCATATTAGATGGCTCACAACCACATATAACTTGGCTTCAAGGGATCCTTCTGGCCTTCGTGGGCATCTGCACATACATATACACAGACATACACATAAAAATAAATAAATCTTTAAAGAAAGAACAGGAAAGAGATGAACCATGGTCATGGTGAACAGGTACTTTTAATAAACCACATATTTTTTAATAATAATACAAGGAATTGTTTTATTTTCAAATTGGATGCAGTTTAAGAATTTTTTTCCTTTTTTAATTCAAATTAGAAACAAGCTTGTTTTACATGTTAATCCCAGTTCCCTCTCCCCTCCTCCCCTGCCCCCCACCAACTCCCCATCCCATTCCCTTTCTGCAACCCAGGGAGAGTGAAGCCTTCCATGGAGGATCTTCAAAGTTTGTCATATCATTTGGAGTAGGGCCTAGACCCTCCCACACTTGTCTAGGCTGAGAGAGTATCCTTCTATATGGAATGGGCTCCTGAAATCCATTCACATACTAGGGATAAATACTGATCCACTGCCAGAGGCCCCATTGATTTCCCAGGCCTCCTAACTGACATCCACGATCAAGGGGTCTGGGTGGATCTTATGCTGGCTTCCCAACTATCATTCTGGGGTCCATGAGCTCCCCCTTGTTCAGATCAGCTGTTTCTGTGGGTTTCTCCAGCCTGGTCTTGACCCCTTTGCTCATTACTCCTCCCTCTCTGCAACTGGATTCCAGGAATTCAGCTCAGTGTTTAGCTGTGCGTGTCTGCTTCTGCTTCCATCAGCTCCTGGATAAAGGCTCTAGGATGGCATATAAGGTAGTCATCAATCTCATTATTGGGGAAGATGTGTTCAAGGTAGCCTCTCCACTATTGCTTGGATTGTTAGTTGGGATCAACTTGTAGATCTCTGGACTTTTCCCTAGTGCCAGATTCCTCTTTAAACCTATAATGGCAGCCTCTATTATGGCATCTATTTTCTTGCTCTCCTCTATTCTTCCCCTGACTCGATCTTCCTGCTCCCTCATGGCCTCCTCTCCCCTCCTCTTCTCCCCTTCTCTTTCTCCTAACTCCCACTCCCCTCCCTCCATGCTCCCAATTTGCTCAGGAGCTCTTATCCCTTTCCCCTTCCCTGGGGGACCAGGTCTGTCTCTCTCAGGGTCCTCCTTGTTTCCTAGCTTCTCTGGCGGTGTGGACTGTAGGCTGTATACCACATAGTCTTGAAAAACAGTTGCAGTGCGGCCAGTGAAGGGGTGAAGCAGGGAAAGCCCCCTTCCCAGGGACTGAGGGCACGGGTTTAGTGGAAGGGCACAACTGACTCCAGGGAGTTTTGTTCTCTATGCTGCTTATTTTTCTTATTAACATGATACAAGTTAGAGTTATCCTGGAAGAGGGAACCTCAGATGAGAAAATGAGAACCCTGAGCAGGCGGTCAGACAGCAAGGTAAGGAAGCCATGGAGAACAAGCCAGTAACTGATGTTCATCTGTATTTGCTAATTCATTTCCTGCCTCCAGTTCCTGTTCTGCCAGAGTGCCTGCTTTGGCTTCCCTCAATATCAGATTATTTGGGGGCTGTATAAAGCAAATAAATTCTTTCCTCTCTATGTTGCTTTTGATATAGTGTTTATCACAGTGATAGAAAGCAAACTAACTTTAATCGCAGCACTCAGGAGGCAGAGGCAGGCGGATCTCTGTGAGTTCGAGGCCAGCCTGGTCTACAGAGTGAGTTCCAGGACAGCCTCCAAAACAATACAGAGAAACCCTGTCTCGAAAAAACAAAAAAAAAAAAAAAAAAAAAAAGAAAGAAAGCAAACTAACATATCCTCCCACCTCCTCCAGCCTGCTGTGTTACAGTCATGCACTTGCGCACTCCCGCACACACACACAAAATGTGGCTTTACATTTTCCTAATGGTTACAGTGGGGACCAGGAGAGATGGCTCAGCAGTTAAGAGGGCTCGCTGCTCTAACAGAGGCCCAGAGTCCAGACTGCAGCAGCCACGTCAGGCGGCTCACAAACACAACTCCAGCTCCATGGAATCAGGTGACACTTCTGGCCTCCATGGGCACCCACATGCACACATATATTTTTTTAAAAATGGTTACAGCTGGGCGGTGGTGGCACACGCCTTTAATCCCAGCACTCAGGAGGCAGAGGCAGGCGGATCTCTGTGAGTTCGAGACCAGCCTGGTCTACAGAGCAGGTTCCAGAACAGCCAGAACTACACAGTAAGACCATGCCTCAGAAAACAAATACATCATAATAATTATAACACTAAATTAAAGCCTCTAAGGTAAAATATACAACAACTTTGAAGAATCCTAGTATTCTGGAATATAAACGGCTTGATATAAATCCTTTTTTCTGGATTTGTTTGTTTTGAGACAGGATTTTTTTTCTTTAATATTGTTTTCTTCTTTTCGTGTGTATATGCGAGGGGTGGGTAGACGATCTCATGGGGTTGGGTCCATGTAGCAACCAATCCAAGGTTGATCTGGGAATCCTCCTCAATGACTCTTCTGGTTCATTCTTTGAAGCAGCATCTTCGGTGACACCAGGGCACACGGGTACTGCTAGTCTAGCTAGACAGCTTGCTCTGGGGAATCTGCTGTCTTGGCCTTCTGAGACTGGAAGTTACTCTGCTGCCATGGCCACCCACCTTTTATTCAGCTTCAGGGTCTCCTGACTCAGCCCTCACACTTGTCCAGCAAACACTCTCTCCACCCCAAACACAAGAGAGAGAAGGCTGGGGGTGTGGCTCAGTTGAGAGATTCCGGGATTCTGTCCCCAGGACCACATTAACTGGGCAGCTGCAGGCAGGAGGTTCAGAAATTCAAGGTCATCCTTACTTACATTGTAAGTTTAAAGATAGCCTGGGTTACATGAGACCTTGGGGAGGAAGGGAGGGGAGGGAGGGAAGGAAAGAAGAAGGGAGGGAGGGAGGGAGGGAGGGAGAGAGAGAGAGAGAGAGAGAGAGAGAGAGAGAGAGAGAGAGAGAGAGAGAGAGAGAGAGAGAGGAGAGTTATAAATGTCAGCATGAAAAGCACTTTTATACAGGCACAAAGTGTGGCAAGAAGGTGCTAGTAGGGAGCTTTATTAACAACTGGTCAAAGCCCATCTGCTTCACTTCACCCCTCCCAGCTGCTCCTGGGCCTGGGCCTCAGAAGTGAGCCGGCCCAGAGAAACTGGGTTCCATTTTTCAGCAAATTCTCCACGCTCCCCTGACCTGCTGCTTCCAGAAAAAGAGGATTCGGATGCTCATTCCACCCCACCCTGGCCCACCTCTAGGTATTTGTGAGAAATGAATGAGATCAGATTTGCAGCTCCGGCACAGTTCCAATGGGCACACAGAAGACACCCAGAAAACAGTGACTATTTTTATACCCAGAGCCCACAAGTTCTTAGGTTGTAAATTCGGTGGGTTTATGGGCTCAGTGTGTGGTTAATAATGGTTAATGATGTGAGTTGTTTATAAAGTTACTTTCCTGAGGACCGTGAAATGGCTCAGCAGGTGAAGACACTTGCAGCCAAGCCCAATGAGCTGAGTTCAGGACTCACACAGTAGAAGAAGAGAACTGAGTCATACAAGCTGTCCTCTGACCTCCACATGCTCACCATGCGCACGTACACACACACACACACACACACACACACACACACACACACACACACACACACACACAAATACAAATACACATTAATAAATAAAATAATTATGCTGGCCGTTGGTGGCGCACGCCTTTAATCCCAGCACTCAGGAGGCAGAGGCAGGCGGATCTCTGTGAGTTCGAGGCCAGCCTGGTCTACAGAGTGAGTTCCAGGACAGCCTCCAAAGCCACAGAGAAACCCTGTCTCAAAAAACCAAAAAAAAAAAACCAAAAAAAAATAAATAAAATAATTTTCCTTGACAGCCTAGCCTTAGTGAGGTAGTGGATTCAATCCCAAATACTGCAGAAAACAAACAACAACAAAAACTATTTGTTTATTTTCACAATATTTATACCTGTATGACACTATTTATTACTTTTTTGGTCTATGTGTGTGTTATACGTGTGTGTGTGTGTGTGTGTTGGGGGGAGGGAGAGTGTGTGTGTGTGTGTGTGCGCGCGTGTGTTGGGGGAGGGAGAGTGTGTGTGTGTGCACGCGTGTGTTGGGGGAGGGAGTGTGTGTGTGTGTGTGTGTGTGTGCGTGTGTTGGGGGAGGGAG